GCTGGGAAGCAGCCCCCAGAGCCTGGGCTGGGGAGATCCAGAAAACCAGGGATTTATTCCCAGTCTGGGGAGCTTGGTGCCGTCCCAGGCTCGCTCCGCGGCCTGGCTTGCAGGGCTTGGTCCCCGGTCCCCAGGGTGTCCGCGTCCCCGCCATCTCCTAGCAACGGGGACGCGTGCCTCCCAGCCAGGGAATTCCCTGCCGGGCTGGGGCTGGATGGCAGCACCTGGACGCTGCAGCGTCTCGGCTGCTTTTTGGGAGCACCTGCGGCACCTGGCTCTGCAGGACTTCCCCTGTGGCCTTGGCAGCTGGGTAGGGCGCCAGGGGGCACAGCCATGGGATGTGGCAGGGGGTCTGCGGTCTGCAGGGCTGTCACTGCCTCTCCCCTCTCCCTCTCTGCAGAATAAATCCCGCTTCGATGCATGCACGAGACCCCGTGAAGGCCAGCCAGGGCTGGGGGCAGACCCAGCCGGGCAGGAGGAGGCCATGCCACTGGGTGACGAGAGCCCTGAGGCACTGATGGAGCTGCTGAGCGACTGGCACAGCCCCTGGGCCCTGCCACCGGACTGCAGCCCCCAGGACCAGCACCTGCGGGAAATGGCTGTGCTGGCACCCGAGCTCGTCCATGGCTCCCGCATCTTCCAGGTCCTCAGGTCCCTGCGGATCGTTGGCAAGGGAGTAAGTGCAGCTTCTGGTGCACTGGTGCACCCACCTCCAGGCCAGGAAACCACGTCTTCCTGTTGGGAGGGAAAACATTCTGGGAAAAGGATACCTTCCCCATCCCAGGGTCTTCCCAGATGCCACTATTGTAGCTGGGGTAGAGCTGCTGGCTCCCTCACCCAGTGTGTTGCACTGATCTGTGTTACATGTATGTCACATGGATCAACGCTACATGTCCATATCACCTTGGCCACAAGGTGGCTCAGGGGCACGTTGGCCAAACCTATCTCTTTGCAGGTGGAGGAGGTCGACGACGGTCTGTTACAGTTACAACAGCTGGAGGAGCTCATCCTCAGTGCCAACCAGATCAGCAGCATAACCTCGGCCAACTTGCCCCGGACGCTGAAGGTGAGCGAGCAGTGCCTTGCAACGGCAGGACGGGGAAGGAGGTCCCATCTGGGAACGCAGTACGAGCCAAGCAAGTCGAAGGAGTGGCAGCAATGGCTCATTGCAAAGGGTGTTTGTTGTTCCCTCTGTCCCAGGCAGGTCCTGGAGCTCTGCTGCAACGCTGTGGCTGATCTGCAGGGCCTATGCACTCAGCCTCCTCCAGAGCTGCAGCACTTGGGGCTGGGATACAACAGGCTGTGTGGCCCTTTGCAGGACAAGTACCTCACCGCAGACTTCTGGTAACGCCACAGGCTGAATGTGGGCTCCTGAAAGGGAGGTGGGCAGATATGAACAGATGACCTCAAGCCATCAAGGTGGCCCATGTTAACAAATTACAGCCCTTCAGCAGAGTTGTTTCTTTGCTCTGTGTCCAATGCTGGTGCAGAGCGCGCTGTCTCTGTTCGCTGTCTTCTGTCTCATGCTTAGAGGGTGTCTTGATCTGTGGCCAAGGTGTGGAATGGGGAGATCATCTGGGGAACTGCCTTGACACCCTGTCCCTTCCTCTCCATGCCCTTCCCAAAGCCCCTGCTGGGAGCCTGCCCTGGGAAGGATCTAAAGCTTAGGCTGTGTCACCAAATGATGCAGTGGGATGGTTAATGGATGCTAAAGGAACATGGTTTTGAGTTGTGGGGCAGACTGGCAATGGACCATATGGCTCAGGAATTTGGAATTGGCCTCTTGAGATTGTACCATTGGATTCCCCAGTTTGACCTAGTTTGTGCTAGGGAAACACATTTTTGTTTCTTTTTTTGACCCAGGGCAGTAGCTCTCTATCCTCAGAAGGATGCTGTTTGCCTAACCTTCTTCTCTGGGTTCTCTCCTTAGGCCAAATCTTGTCTCCCTTGACCTGAGCTTTAACAACTTCACGGATCTGCTGGGGCTGGTCTCCCAACTGTCCAGTCTGCAGAAGCTCCGCATCCTGGTGCTCCAAGGGAACCCACTGGTTCTCATTCCCACTTACAGAGGCTTCCTTGTGGACAGCCTGCCCAAGCTCTCCATCCTCGATGACATCCACATAGGGCCTGATGAGAGGCACCAGTTCCACGGTTTGGCGAGGCAGCCAGGTGAGCCTTTGCCTTTGAATCTGTCCATGCTGACCCCATGATTCGGGAGGTGGTTTAATTGTGGTTGAGCTAGGACTCCTCAGGGCAAACTCCGGATCCAGTATTGACTTCCTTCTTGCCTCTCTTCAAATGGAGATCTTTCTCTGTGCCTTTTTACCTCACTAGTACAAGTGGGGAGACAGGCAGAGGACCTTGCAGCAGTGTAATTACAATCGAGGTAGTTTTAGCCTCAGTCAGGTCCAAAGATTGCAAGAACAACCTAATCCTAGCACTGCCTCGGTGTCATGGCCTGCCCCCATCTTTGCTTCCTAGACACCGTCTGGTTTCAGACCATGCGTTTCCCTCTTGAGCTTCTGAAAGAGGAACATCTCCACTGGGGAAGATGCTCACATGGGTGCTTGCACTGTCAGCACGAAGCAGTGCCACCTCTGCAGCGTGACACATCCCCAACTGGGACGAGAGCAGGGGGCTGGGAAGCCCCTCTTGATGGCCCCTACTCAATGAGTTTATGTGCTGGATGTGCTGTTTGAAATCTAAAATGTTAACCAGGGAGGCAAAGCAACCAAGCCAGGAGACGTTTGCGTGGCTTTGGAGTGACCCCATGTGGCAGTGGCTTGTCACAGCGTTAGCACAGGGTGGAAGGGGGGGATGCCAGGTGGTAGGACATGGCATCTTGGAGGCTTCCGCTTGCTCTGTGCCTTCCTCGCTCTGGAAGGAGCACGCTGCAGCTTCATAGCAAGATTGTCTGCCTTTTAGAGCTGATCAGAAGCGAAGCACGAGTGGTTGTGAGCATTGGGGAAATCAAGGGAGTCCCTGATCCCAGCGCTCGTCAGCCGCTGGAGGTTGGCTCCGAGGCTCCGGTGATCACCTACAGCTACTGTGTGATGTACAAGTTTGCGGAGGGAGAGGAGATCGAGGACGGTAGCAGCACTGAGGTTTGTGCTTAATTGAGATCTTGAAAGCAACAGGCAGTGTCAGGCCACAGCAAGGGGGACTTCACCTCCAGGCTGCTGAGCGAGACCATTCGTAATGGACCTGATGCAGGCAGCAGCAGTACTGGGGACATGTGGCATGGCCACATCTGGCAGGACAAGTTCCCTCTGGCCACATTCCCTGTCACTCTCGGGAAGCCCAGCGCTGCTCTGCATGTGGGAGTGCATTCACAGCTCCCCCCTCCCGCTGACTTCGGCAGACCCATTCCCTGGCACTGGTGCCCCTTCTTCCCATGATGAGGGTGGGCTGGGGAATGGGATTTCGGAGGCAGCTCTGCCCCCTGGTCCTGATGCAAACACAACCAGACGTGCCCTGCCAAGAGATCCCTCTCTGTTCCAGGTAACAAAAATCCATCAGCATCCTGTGGTGGCCACCCTGGATGTGGACAGCTCTGCTGGGGACACAAAGGAAACAAAGGGCCAGCAGGAGCCCACAGCCATGGAGGACCCCAAGGCCCACTCTGGTAATGAGGAATTATAAATCCCCTGCCCCACTGCTCAGGGCAGGTTTATGGCTCTTCCTGGCATGTGGTGGCATCGGGACATCCCTCGCAGCACCAGCTGCAGCTGGGCTGTTACTGAGACCGATGGATAATGAATTGGCACTGCTCATGTCCTGGGGGTCCTTCCTGTCCTCGGGAAGGAGAGGTCTCTCCTCAGAGCTTTTTTGTGTCCCTGCACAGAAAAGATTTTTGTCACTCCTGGAAAGCCCTGGGCAGACACCATCAACTGCAGCTACAGGAAGGAGCACACTGCCAAGAACTTAGTGGGGCTGAAGTCCTACCTGGCGTCTGGAACAATCATCTCGGTCATGGAGGAGAAGGTGAGTGTGTGGCAGAGCTGGATGAAAGGGGAAAGAGCTGCTGGGAGGCCCGCAGCTCTGTATTGTGTTCCCTCTGGGAGGCAGCCCGAGATGGCAATGACCCTGGACCAGGGTCCTCGGGCGTCCCAGCCCCTGCAGCACCACCTCCTCTCTCTGGGCAGGTGCTCTCATGGCCTGTCGATGCTGATCCAGAAGAAAATGCAGGCACGAAAGGCAAGGCAAGACGGGGGCTGCAGAAGGACGATGCCAAGGTAGGATGCTGGGAGAGAATGATGTCCAAACACCAGCTGAGCTGCAAAAATAATGATGGGGGAACGAGGGGCCTTCTCCTGGGCCAGTTTGGTGTGTCAGAGAATCTCCCCTCCATCCCAAACCTCTCGCCAAAGTCCCCCCTTGCTATGGGAGGCAGGCAGCAGTGGTTTTACACGCATCTCGGTCTGGATGCAGTGGTGGGCAAGGGGCTGGGTCAGGGTTGCTTGCTGTCTGATAAAGGGACCCCAACCCTCTGCTGAGGCTTGCCCCTGTGCTGGTGCCCTGCAGGTTCCTGTGCCCAGGGACAAGCAGAAAAAGAAGAAGAAGGAAAAGCCACGTGAACTCCGCAGCGACCCTCCTGTTCGGAGGACCCTGGGCACCAGGAGGGTGACCCTGGAGACCCTGCTAGCCACCGAGAACCTGGTGGCAACTGTGTGTGACTTTGGGATCCTGATCACTGAGCAGCCGCTGCAGCCACCAAGTCTGGAGGAGAAGGTAAGGAGTGTGTCCTGGGGCAGGGCAGTGATGCAGGGCTGCCAGGGACGGGCAGCGCTGCAGGCTGCAGTTCAGCATGTCCTGCCCTCCAGCTAGCCCAGGAATCCCTCCCGACCATCCCTCAGTTCTCCTCACCATAAAATGGGGCTGAAATAATCCTGCCTGAGCACCATCCATCACTGCTGGTATCATTATTTAATGTTGATTTTAGCAATGAGTACTGCTACTTTTTATAGGCCAAGATTAAGAAAATAGATGAGTTTATTTTTCCATCTGAGAATGTGAAAGCAACCACTTGTGCTTCCTCTGATGCTCTCTCTCTCTCGGCCCGGCAACACGCACTGGCTGCACTGACACTTTCTATTTCCTGGATTCTCTTCTCCAAGCAGCTCCACCACTGTGCTCCTCCCCTCACCCCTTTTCTTTGCCCTTTAAATCCCGGCGACAGAACCCAGAGGGCGATGGCTGTCACAAGACTGAATGCGGGCAGTGAATTTCAACACAGCCTAACTATGGAAACATCTTTCTCCGCAGGACAGGAAAAAAGGCAAAGACAAGAGCAAAAAACCAAAAGCAGAGAGAGAAAGTCAGGCCAGCCAGAAAACCACGGCGTCTGCCAAAGGTGACGGAGACTGGAGCTGGCTGGGCGGAGGGTGGCGTGTGCGAGAGCAAACACCAGTGGTGACCAGCTGGGAGGCAGCCGCAGGTCCCCGCCACCCTGCCAGCTCTGCCAAGCAGGGCGCCTACTCACATCCTGAGCTTCGGGCTGTGAATACATCCATTGACTGCGGGGGCTGTAGGGTTAGACTCACGCCCAGACACCTTGTTGAATCAGTGTCTGAACAAGCACCGAGGGTGGGCTGCTGGCTGTCCTGGGAGCGACACACACCTACCAGCTCTGTGTGCCAGGGGAGAAGGGCAAAGCAGATTTTTGGGTGAGAGATGTGCTGCCCATTGTGTCGGTTGCCAAATGTGGCCGGTGGCATGGACCAGCGCAGGCAGCTGGGGGGAGTGCTGTCTGGGGTGCATAATAAGGTCCTCATCCATTTCCAACTCGGATCTCAAGGCACTTTGTAGAGGTGATTATTGTTCTTTCTGGTTTAGAGATGAGACGCACAGAGAGCCCCAGGTGCCCCAGCCAGCCCATGGTGGGGCCAGGAACAGACCCCAGTTTGCAGTCACCCATGAGGAGACCACCCTGACCCGTGACGGGTGTCCCCTGCCTCCCCAGTGCCAGAGCTCACGGTCTGCTCAGCCAGCAGCGTTGCTTAAACTGCTGGAGACAAACCTTGCCCTGCCTCTTGCAGATTATTATTCCAGCAATCTTGTTTTGACTACAAAAAGAGCAGTTCCAGCACATCGGAGGGGTAATGCAAGAGCAGGAGGAAGTGGGGGAGGGAAGGGGTGGCGGGGCAATGCTGAAAACCTGCTTATGAGTCGAGGAGAGCATGGAGCGGGCCAGACCTCCGCAGCGCCGCTTGGAGCTACCAAAGGAGCCTCGTGTCCTCACTCTGGCACCAGATATAGTCACTAATTTAAGAGAGCAATTAACCCCCTTCCCCAAGAGCGCCAGGATGCTTTTCTGTGCCCTGTCCCCATCTTCGGGGAGGATCTCGGAGCCCTGCAGTCCTAGGCTGTGTCTGCGCTCGAGGAAGCCTGATGGCCTTCCCAGCTACCTGAAAAGAAGAAAAAACTCCTTGAATTATTGTTCCCCACAAGAAGATGTGTATTTGCAGTATATGCTCAGACTGCTGCTGAAGCAGGGAGCTGCTGTCAAACAACTGAAGTTTAGCAGTGATGTTTTTTATTTCCTTTCCACCCCAGTGCCTGTGGTCAGTGTGCATGCAAGGAGGTCTTCCCTTCAGCTTGAGCGAGAATGAAACCTTTCTGCAGGGGGTTGTGTGGCTGGAGGTGGTGTTGGGTGCACAGAAAGCCGCTGCTGATGCAGGAAACCCAGAGAGATTAGAGACTCATGCTTAATTTGGTGTCCCCTTATGCCTGTGCAGGTGGAGGCTGACCAGCTGCACAGCAAGGCCGCTGAGTGCATATTTCAAAAAGATAGTGCCTAAAAATCAGCTGCCCCCACAACTTGCTACACCCAGTGCCGGCCGTGTCCCACGGCCGTGCACGCCACCGTGACTCACGACTCACAAGTACACCCCGGTTGCAGTCGGGGTGGCAAACACGGCCGGGGAGGCAGGTGGGCTGCTCAAGTGTCGCCACACGCAGTGTCTGCAAGCCCTGGCTGCTCCATGAGTCACCAAATCGCACCGTGGTCGTTTGGCACTTGCTCGTCACCTGGGTACCAGGTGGAGCTGCGGCAGCGGCCATGCTCCGAGGCACGGGGGACGGCTCCCAGCCCTTGCTCCGCTGCAGCCGTGCATCCAGCGAGGCTGCGTAGGGACCAGCACTCTCACAGCTGGGAGCTGAGGCTGATTTGCATCCCTCAGTCGGCAAATGCACACAAATAATAAGTCCTCTCAGAGGAATTGGGATCCCTTCCAGACGGCTCAAAGAGGAAAGGCAGCAAGCTTTGTCTTGAGCAAACAATTTGCCCAGACGCTGAAGGATGTCTTCGGAAGTAGTCTCACGTAGGTCTCATTTTATCCCACACTTGATTTTCCAGGATCCTTGAAATTATTTCTTTCTGCACCTTTCTTTTTTCCTAGGAATTATAGAGGAGTTTAACAAAAAAAAAAGCAAAGTTGCACCCAGACCGATTGCCTGCTTAAAGATGCTTTTGGGGCTTCTTACCCAAAGTCATATTCAAATAGATTTTCCCTCAAGGCCCGAAGTCAGTGCTAACGCGGTGGGGATTCCCCCCCTGAGCACTACTGGTTTTAGGGTGATTTACTCTGTCAAGACAGTGACAGATTTACTTCTTTCCACAGGAAAAAGAAAAAACAAAGACTCTGCTGAACTGGAGGAGGGTCGAGGGCTCCAGCCGGTGCCACTGACGGTTCAATTCCAGATGCAGCTGCTTCAGTGGCCCTCGGCAGCCGGCACCCAGAGCCAGGAGAGCGTGGCCGTGGCAGTGGGGAAGGCTCAGTAATGCGCCAGTAGCAGAAGAGTGAGCGGGAAATAAAACCCACGTGGACGCCGCGTCGATGCTGGTTCAGCTGAATCGCCAGGGCCGGGACTTGCCACGGGGCTCGTGGTTGCCCGGGGCTGCTGCCGAGCTTCTGCAGGCGCTGCAGCGTGCAGGGGCTGGTGGTGCGGTGTGCAGGGTGGGCTCCGCAGCCTGCGGTGCTCGCGCGCGTGGTGCAGGGCGGGCTGTGCGCCGTGCAGGGTGCAA